GTAACGTAACGTAAACGTAAACGTAAACGTAAACGTAAACGTAAACGTAAACGTAAACGTAAACGTAACGTAACGTACGTAGTACGTAGTAGTAGTAGAGAGAGAGAGAGAGAGAGAGAGAGAGAGAGAGAGAGGTGTGTGGGGTGCGGGTTGGGTCTCATTTGTGTCCTTGTTAAGAAGCTTGATGCATGCTGTGCTCTAGAAACTGACCTAATTTATTCCATTCAGTCCGTGGTTAATATGTCACAATTGTGTTATTCTGCACGTGTATCAAGTAGGAAAAACACGCTTCTAAGTGAAACCTTAGCTTTCCTTCGATACACAATGAGAAATTAATAGAATGATAATCATATTCAACAATTTACAACATCATATTGAATTTATAATCCAATCTAACCACTAGTACAGTGGGCCCCAGAGTGCAGAACCAGATCTTAAAGAGTTTTGGAGCCATTGCTTTATAGACATTAAAACAAACACGGTCTGACTAACATAAGTGGCCAATCTTTAATTTGCAATGTCAGGGCCAGTTTGGATAATTACTTTTAACAGAAGTAGAGTCTTTTGCCTAAAACTATTATACTCAGCAGGTCTGCATAATATTACTTCCAGAGCTGTTTGGTAGGTACCTCATACTGTGTATAATATTGTTTGGTTGGTTTAGTAGAATCACGGTACCTTAAAAGAACCTGAAACTTCACCCTGATCATTGGCCCCTTACGTTCCTGTTTCTTCCTCCATCCATTCTACTGACCTGATCACTAATTCGTTACATTCAAGTTTCTCACTCTATCTACCTTACAAGAATCTGGACCTTAACTCTGATTACCACCTAGTATAATTGAGTTTCTCCCTTCAACTCGTTCACTAAAAGTCGCCGTACTAGTCATTGACTCATTGCTCAATTGAGCTTCTCTCTCCACTAACTGAAATACTATTGAGTATCTCTCTACAATTGCTTGCACCATTTATCAGTGCCTGATTTCGTATTTGGATCCTTATCTTCCACTACCAAACTCTCCACTACTCGATAACATATTTTATTTTTTGGTATTAAACCCTCAAGATGTTTGAACGCAGCTTTTAGAAGATCAACCACGAGGAAATCAGGAGCATATTGACCATTGGAACCATCATAACTCCCAATGGATAACCACCCGTGCTACTCTGTACAACAACATAAGCCCTATCATCCCCTGCTTTTCCATGAGCTTATTGATGGTTTTTTGCTTTTAAGTCAGTATTAAGCCTCATATAGTAATTCAAAATTGGGATTGTTTTTTCAAATATACCATTTCTTATACGGTTGGAGCCCTAAATTTAAGGATAGGAACCACCTGTGGCCTCTATCTCTCTGATAAACTCCTCTAAAGGACATTTCTAACACTAGAAAAGCCTTCTTTCCACAGTAGAAAAGCCCTTCTTTCTCACACTAGAAAAGTCCTTTCCCTCACATGCTCTCATGGTTAACCTTCACCCCCAAACCCTAGAAATCTTCTTTGCCAAAACCGCTTTTCTTTACCTCTCAAGATTTTGCGTTTTCTATCTCTCAAGATTTATAGAGTTTTAGAGAGATGGTGGCTTGCAGGTTGAGAATGTCTGCCATGGCTTTCATGGCAGTTCTCACGGCTTATGCAATGGTCATAGAAGCCTCTTGTGGGTTTTTGCTGCCACTCTTGCAGGTTTTTGGGCCTCTTGAGAAGTTCGTGAGCGAGAAAGAAGAGAGAGAGAGAGAGAGAGAGTGCTTAGGTAGCCGAAGAAAAAGGCCCCTGACAAAAAGGATAAAGTACGTTTTATTAAACAAAAAACCATTTTCAAAGATATGATTTTATATGGAAATCCAATAAGATGTGCACCACCGGTTAATAAGAGATACTACCAAACAACAATTAAAGTCTTAAAATGAATATTTTAATCCAAACCACGAATTATTAGTAATTGTGGGTGCATCCAAACAGGCCTGTATAGAGCAAGTTATCAATAAATAGGGTGAGTGCCAACAATGAAAGCAACACCTTTGTTACATAAATTACAAGGCAAAAAGCATGTGCTGAATCTAATTAGCAACATGCTTAGAAAATTGTATGGATGAACTTTAACATGACTTCTAAATAGTGACACAATTTCTGCCAGCGTTTTAAAATGCGGGATTCAGCGTTTTAAAATGTCGAGCGTTTTAAAATGTCGAGCTCTTGCTGCTCCTCTACTCCTCTATGCTCTAGTGCTAAGTCGATCTTCTTCATTAGCCCTTGTTGCTAGCTCGACATCAAGCCATATAAGATCCTTACCGTCAAACACACGCTCTAGTCTTGGATCCATGGTCTACTCATTTGTGGAATCACCATCAGCTTCATACAATTGAATAGGGTTGAGCTTCATGCGATTTTGAAACCTCTCCCTAAACCGCTCATTATACCGCAAATCAACCAAATCATTCAACTTTTTCTGCTCCAACCTATTCCTTTTTTTTGTATGGAGCGATAGTAGAAAATTAAAAATAGTTTTTATATTAGAAAATTGAAATTTGAAATTGAAATTCAAGAAATAAGAATTAAAGAACAAGGAGTTAAGGACTTACATGTTCAAATGCACTCCAATTGCGTTCACAACCAGATGAGCTACATGTGAGATTCAACACTCAAATAGCAAGACGTAGATTTGGTGTCGCTTCCATATAATGCCCACCACGCAGCAGTATAATATTTTATAATTTAGATTATAATATTGATAAAAATTATGGGTAAACAAATAAATAATAGAACTATATATAAAGTCATAGACAAGTAAGGGTACTTTGTGCCTTTACCTGGTTCCGTAATGTCCCTATTTCGAGTACCAATATCTCTCCCAAAGTTTCCCAAGGCTAACTTGAACTTATTCAATTCATGACCCTGGATCTCATCTTGGATATCTTTGTCAGGCACCAACGTCTCAAGCACATCTAAGAACCCACCATTTATTACACGATCTGACTCAATGGATGGGTGCTTATAGTGAAGAGATGGATTTAGAAAATAACCGGCTGAATGGAGGTGCCTATGAAGCTGGGTATCCCATCTCCTATCAAAACTTTCATGTATAGCCTTGCTCATATTTTCATCATCCTTTAAAACATTTTTATCTCTTCTCTTGCCTTTTTCATTGCCTCATGTATGTAGCCTATGGCAGGCTTCACATCACCATCAACCAGTCGAAGCACTCTAACTAAAGGGCGAGCCACCTCCAATACAAGAATTATTTGACTCCAAAAAGATGTATTCAAAATAATTTTTTCAGCCTTTCACCCATCCTTATGCTTTGACCATTTACTTTGACTCCATTGCTCTAAAGCAAACATGGTCCTCAAGGCACTTTTTTGCTTGGCTAAGCTTCGAAGAATGAGAAATGACGTGGCAAATCTAGTGATACCCGTTCACACTAGTTCTCTCTTCTTTATAAAAAACCTCATCATGCTTAGGACTATGGTATGATTGTAAATAAATCCAACAACAAACATAGCTCTTGGAATCACACCATTAAATAAAGATGTTGTACCCATTTCCTTGAGCATAAGATTAACACAATGAGCTGCGCAAGGAGTCCAAAACATATGCGTCCTTTTAAAAGTCAAAAAATGCCCAGCTGCAGTATAATTGGTACCATTGTCAGTGACAATTTGCACCACATTTTTCTCTCTAACAAACTCTACAATCTCATCCATCAAGCCACATAAGTATGTAGCATCATGTGACTTGTCTGATGCATCAACAGACTTAACAAAAAAAGTACATGTTGGATAGTTAACCAAAAAATTAATGAATGCCCTCGACTTCCCATCGGACCAACCATCACACATAATACCGGCCCCATATTTTGCCCACCATTCTCTTTGAGAAATCAAAATTTTGTTGACATCAAATACAACATCCTTCAACAACAGCTCCCCAACCTCATGTAGTGAAGGAAGAACAAGTCCTGAGCCGTATTGGCCAATTGCCTGGACCATTCATGCAAAACTATCAAGAGTTATAGTATTAAAAGGAATTTTGACCATGTAAATCCGCTTTGCAATCTACTTACATACCGACTTCCTCTGTATTTTCTTGTATTTATTTTCAATTGTAGTTTGTTTTGTTTTTTTCTCTCTCTTGAACCACAATTCTGAGGCTAGGGGTGCAAAGACATCCATTGGCCCCTTAGAGAGATGTGTTCTTTTTTCAACACTACCACCAATATTTATAACCCTCTCTCTTGAGACTGGAATTCGAGTACCCCCTTGTCTCATTGCAACTTCAGATATATCATCATCATCATCATCATCATCAACATCATCATCATCATCATCATCATCATCATCATCATCATCATCAAATAATTGCATATCATCAAGTAATTCTTTTCTTTTCATTTTTTTCTTCTCTTTATCTTTTATCAATCTATCCATGTATTCTCTAATCTCCTTTTTTATTTCATCGATAGCTTGTGGGCATGCTCTTACATTCCCAAAAATTCCAGCAAAGTGTTCTTTTTGTCGAAAAATACCACCCATATAAGTATTTCCACAGCATGCAAATCACATAATTTCTATCTTTTGGATTTTTTAGTTTGGCATATTTCCAAGCTGGATCCTTATTACTAGAATATTGGGAAGAAGACATTGCCCCAAAAATAAATATTATTGTGCAAGGAATAAAAAGTTTTCGGTTCTTGAAGCAATGCTCGATTTCTTCACGACCTTTGAAACCCTCGATTTCTTGTTACAAATTCATCTAAACTTCGTCAAATCAACAACCAAAAGGTTCAAATCAAGATCCAAGTATCAAACAATCCACAAATCCAAGATTTCAATGAAAAACAATTTCCACCCTTTCTTTTTTTGCTCGATTTGATCCCAAAAAAGCCACAAAAGTGGCTGTAAATGATCATTTAGGGGGTTTAATACCCCCCAAACTATTTCCCCCAAGTTGTGATAGTAAAAAATGACCATCTTGCTCATCCCGAGGAGCACAATTGAAAAAAAAAAGGCGAAAAATTATGCGGGCATATGCGGTAGATGCACTATGCAGCTTTGATGCGCTATGATGCGGCCGCATAGCTCCAAAGCGCATATGCGGTCTTTTTCGATGCGGTGTTCACCGCATACCGCATGATGTAGCCGCATATGCGGCCACATGTTAAAACATTGATTTCTGTTGCATATTAAGCAAGGACATAAATGGAAAGCCACAATATAAAGTAAAATATGTGGGTTATGTTAGGGTGCTCACACTATAAAGTACTCAACAAATTTTGGACATTTATATACACTTGTTTTGTACATGAAGTATTTTTTTTAATAAGGGTATTTTTGGTCATTTGGAGGGGTGTGACATCATCTACATGGGTATATCACCCACATGAACTGCTAGTGTGCTCCAAGTGGGTGATGTCATACCCATGTGCATAATATCACATCCATCCTAATTACAAAAAATAATCTTACTAAAAAAATGTTGTATTACAAAATATGGGTATATTAGTGTCCAAAATTTGTCGAGTACAAATACAAAATGCTTCATAGTGTGAGTGGTCGGATCTGATTTCTTGTCATCCTGGGTCGTCCCGGATATCGGTGAACCGGTCGGGGGAATCCTCTCTCAAACAACCGCAAGGCCCATGTGTGCTTCGCGATTGTTTGAGAGAGGATTCCAACGACCGGGTCACCCATATTTGGGGCCACCTGGAACGATGAGAAATCAGGTCCGACCAACTGGCAACTCCACTGGGGACGCGCCACCCTATCGTTGGTTCGGTTTGCTCGCAAACCTTCACAGCACTTAATTACACTTAAAAATGGCTCTGGGGTTTACTAACTCTTCCTATTACCGAGTTGGGGACTTCATGATCCCCACACCCGTGAATATGTCCCTTGGGGGTAAGGTTTCTCAACTTACATCTCCCTCCCTTCTTTTGCGAAGCGACCAAACAGCTCGCACTTGGGTTCCAGCCCAACCTAAGGCGAGAAGGGGCCCTCAAACCCCTTACTTCCCCTAGACCGGCACCAACAGTCAATCCGTTGTCACTAAATGCATAGGTGGTTCTAAAACCACCACTTCTCATACTCACCCAGCTACTGGTGGACCTTCCATCAGTCTCAAATCCACTCCCCCTTTTCTCGCAAGCGGCTCTTCTAAAGTCGTGCTTCTGTGGGTACCAAGAAGGTCACCCCCAACTCTTCTTTCCACACGCATGACAGCCGTCTCGACATCGCATCTCACACACCCCAGACCGGTGGTTTAATCGCTGAACCGTCTCAGTCAAAAAACCGCATGGTCACTCGACACACTTTAACACCCACCACGACTAGCGGCCTAGTCGTTGGCTCATCTTCTCAGGGCAAGCAAAAAGCTACCCCGAGTCTCGCGCACACGGTGCGTCTCTTAAGACCCAGACCCAGACCCACTGTTAAGAGTGGCTCTCAAACCACTCCAACTGCATTGCATACAATTCACTCAGCTCGGGGCTGCTCAAATGCCATCCCTCCAAAGAGCACACGATCAACGACCCAGTCGTACGTCAAATGCGCACATATACTGGCATGCAAAAAATGGTGGCCATAAGGCCACTCCAATCACTAAGGTCGGCATCCCAAAGGTCGGACCTTTTACCTCACTAAGGGTTGGTCCCCAGACTGCCCCAAACACGTCTTCGAACTCTGCACACACAAACAGGTCTGACATTGCCACTAGTTCTGAGGGCAAACGTGAAAAGAGTCCAGAAGAACTGCTTGCCTTCACTCAAGGGCAGTTCTACCTGGCCATCAAGAAGGGAAATAATGGTGAAGCACGGATATGGGGTCAGGAGACCAAGATGCTGAAAGCGTGACTTAACCCATTTCAAAGGGTTGAGAGCTTCATTGCCAAGATAAACCTCATGAACAAGGAAGAAGCTCTGCCATCGTTCGTCCCCTCTACTCCTTTACCTGAATTGATCCTGGAATCTCGGAGATCGAATGAACTAGATTGTTCTTTAACCGATGCTGATGATGCGGTTTCCATTACCCTCATCCATCCAATCACCCCACTTCTGATGAGAGCTCATCACTCCCATTTAAGGAAAACTACCCCTTGATGGTGGATGGGATGAGCCACATTCCCTCCATTAGTGACCTCCGTAAAGTGGCTTTGCCATGCCACGAAGAACCCATGATTCCTTATGATGACACATGCTCTTTTCATGGCTCGAAAGCTTCTTATGTTCTCTTGATGATGACGTGGTCTCATTGTCTTATGAGAGTTTCACATTCTCATTCAATGATGAGGATATCCATGCCTTTGAAAAATGAAGTGGGCCCGAGGGAAGCCCGACAAATGTCATCAATGATGTTGTT